AAAACATTCTATGTTAGACATAAATATTTAGTAGGAATTAATACCAATAGGCACAATATAGCATTCTAACATGTCATAACCTCAAACGATTTTTTTTTCTCGTTCTGTTTTAATCGGGTGTCCTTAATTTATATCAAAGGACATTTGAATGCTATTCGTATACAATTGATGCATGCACGAAATTATTGTATCGCAGCACGTCAAAAGATGAAATCTGTAAAAAACTAGATGAGGAAAATTGGACAGGAAATAGATTTTCATACGGCTATCCTCCTTTGCCATATCAAAATTTTACGTCGTAATTATAGCTACTATGTTACATTGAGTTAATTGCACGTATAAAAGTAACCTGATATATTCAGAGGTATCCTTCAGTTAATGTTAATTGCTGGATTTTTGGATATTGAAAAAAAATACAAAGGAAGTACTTCCTGTGCTTTTTATATCTATTTTATGTTGTTAGTATTTGCATAAGATCGTATAAGAAGTCTGTGAAAAAATGCTCACTCCTTAATTATCTGAGACTTGAATCATCTGAAGGAAGTATATCTTTTTACTCGAGGATAGTCTCGGTTGTGGTCGCTATCGAAAAGAATTCCGACTAGCCCTGAGAACTGTTACTCGATTAAATAACCGAATATGGGAAGAAATATGGATATTGATTTTTATACGCTAGTATTTAATATTAATATTTAATAAATCTTGTCTCGTTTAATATACGTTTAGTCCTAAATGTAAAGCTTGGATAAAGTAGACAAATCATTGCAATAATTCTTCCATGTCCTACATGAATCCATGTTGTATAACTGTTATATTAGGCTTGAACTGTGCAGACCGCTGTGACTCACTGAGAGAAAGCAGTGGTGTTTTACCCACGTTCTTGATAACTCATCCATTAAAAAGAGCTGTTTCTTAAAATCAGTTCATGAGATGAGTGGAATCCTGATATAAGAATACACCAATTCATTAATCGTTTTTGACTATATATGAATATCTATCCCTCTTTAGGATAACGGATAATTATTTCATTAAAAACCTAGGAGTATTTTTTTACAACCTTACTTTCAATGGTAAGTTGACTTTGATCAACTTTGTACACTAGAGTGAACTATGGTAGGAATTTATTTAAGGATATGTATTTGAACTAACCTCGTTTCAAAACTAAGCAGGCTTTTGTGGCCATGAAACGTTGAATCCTCACTCCCTGGCTTCACACACCCTAGAAAAACCCAAGTGTTGGGAGTAAGGTTGCAAACGATCGCTGACCCGTTGCCAAGCAACAAATAAATATTAATTAATTTATTATAATTAAACAAAGAAATAGACGTTCTCAAGAAAAATAAACTATATAACAACACAACTATTTATCCGCAATAAATACAACTAAATGATTATAATCAGGCGTTAACAGAGATCATACTCATAAGGTACCTATAGAAATTTTACAAACTAGAGGGAACACAAATGTTATATCTCTAGACTAGCGTATTTATTTCTCATTTATGCCTATGATATCTGCTGTCGGTTTTTCAAGATAAATCAAAGAGAGTTTGTGTAAGCTCTAGTGTCGCTTTTAGACATTTTAGCCAGAAATGCGTTTTCAAAACACATTTCTTTAAGATATCCTGGATTTTCAAGTTCTGGAATTGATAAGTTGATAACATATTGGAGAAAATAAGGTTAAATATTTAAAAAATAATGTTTTGATTTCATAAAATTGTTTCATAAAATAACTATTATATTTTATATGAAACGACGTTATATTTCTGTGATTTTTTATCAGCCTAAAAAATACTACAAACAACTAATGAAGAAAATAAGTGGTTTATTAGCTGAAATAACTGTTACTAATAGCTAAATTACTGCTAATTACTGTTGAAGAAAATAACAGAAGATTGATAATAGTTTGTAATCATTTTAAGTTCACTTCTCCGTAGCAGAAATATCTTCTTTAAAATCATTGATATTAGGATTTCCATGGACCAGGTATATTTTTTTCTTTTTCATTCTACCAATCCGTACATTTTCCTTTTAGTAATTTTCTCATTATTATGAAATACCTCAGCGAGGAGATCGCGGTTGGATTTTCTAATTGTGTAATTAAGGTAATCTGATGTACTTTGCTTGAGTTTTATTCATACGCTACTCATTCGGTTCATGACCTCACGGATGATTATTTTTTTGTTTTTTAAAACGACTCGTTTGGTCGTTTGGGTTTTCTCTTCCGGAAGCGAAAAGTATTTAAGGAATTGAAATTTATAAGCTCCGTTATAATAATAATTATTATTAATTGTGGTTAATTAGGTGAAATTGCCTCCAGTTAATCCCAAGCGCCTACTTTCTTTCGCAAGAGATTGCCATAACTCTAGAATTAATAAATGTTTATATGATATGGATGAACACATTTAGCCTTGATACTTGTTGCCCTTCCATGTGGTAGATTGTATTATCTACTAATCAATAAAAAAAAATGAATAAATATTGTAAAATTCCTATTCATGTATGAATTAAATCTTGACTTTCTTAAAGCGGTATTTTTTAAAGAATAAAAATAAACACACAATAATAAAATAATTATAAAACACTACCATATGCATATATAGTGCACAGAATTACCCAATATTTATATTGCCGACATGCTTTTACAATTTATTCTTAAAGCGATATTCTTAAGGTTTATTTAAAATTAGTTTTTACTAAAATTGGATGGTAAGTGAGAGTTGTTTGATGTGATCTACCAAATTTTAAAGGTTATTTAAGCTTATTAAAGTTTCTTTTAAAAGAACAAAATAACTGGGATTAATTAATAAATAATTGAAGCCACTAAATTGTTTTAAACTATATATAGTTTTCTGACACGAAAAATAAAAGATAATAAAACATATCCAAAAAGGTAGACCAGAGAATCCTCAAGTATTTCTTTTTAATACGTACAAAAAATAAATAAATGAAACTACAACTTTTTAATCCGTTTTTATTTAGAGATTAATTTTTAGCTTGATATTATGAACTGGACGCAGATGGAAGAAATTAATATTTTTTTCCCCCCAGAGGTCGGCATTATCTGTAATAAAAGTTAATTCCAGCAATTAGATTTTAAATTACGGTTTGTCCCGCTAATCTTACCCAATTCTGTTAAAACATGCGGCTCAGGTTTTACTATTGGATGAATAAATCATTAACGTAATTAATGCTAATCAAGTTGGTATATTTTCTATCATACGAGTTTATAAACAAATTATTAAAATATTAATTTTTTCTATTAAGGAATATGTTATAATAAATGAACAGTACTACTGAAACTCAATGATCATATCAAATAATCCGGGAGATAAAAATTAAAAAAAAAAAAGAACATTTCTGTTTCAAAAGCATATGCCTGGGGCTCCACAAAGCCATCGAATTCTTCACGTATCCAATCCTTACAATCCAAAATCCTTCGTAGAATCCTCATTGATCTTTAATTTGTCACTAATAAAATCATCCACAATGACCTTCATGTTCCTTATGTTTCCGATTGGGATCCATATATCTATCCTTCAATAATAAACTTCAGAACCATCCTAACCCTTTCGTTTTTAACCTTGCTTCCTATTCGATCCCCGTTAACCCTCCGAGGCGTCTGAAAAGAAGATGGCCTCGAGATCTTCTATTGTAAATACATCTTTTTTTTTTTTTGAGTGCTACCAGTGGGTAGTGTCTCAACAAGTGTTTTCGTGATATTATTTTCTGTTATCGCATTTACTGAATGTATTTTTGTTCTGAATACAGTTGTAAATATCATAAATAAACAATAAAAAAAAACATATTCATAAGTATATTAAGCAGAATTATATAACTATACATTAACTATTACTATAATCTTGACAACACAGGAATAAAAAAATAACATATCTCACGTAAAAAACCTACAGCACTCCATTTATTTATTATTGATTTTATTAAAAATCAGCAGTGAAACTTCCTTATACAATAAAAGCTGGAATTATATTTTATTAAATTGATAATTCATTTTTATGAAATAATTTTAAGAAGTTTTTATTTATTTTATTGTATTCACATCTTTCCAAACCTGTCATTGGTGGCTATATTTTTTATTAATTTTCGTTTTCAATTAAGAAATAGAATTTCATCTCCTGGAGTAAATTATAAAAAGTAATACCATACGACATGGTTATTAATCTTAATAATAGATACTTTTAAAAATATTAATAGCTACTAATAATAGATAATGTTAGGTACTTCTAATAATAGTTAAATAATCTTCGACTCCAATGACTCATATGTACAAAATAGTTGTAGCAATGTATAATATATAATATAACTATATTTTACATCAACTTTTTTGATAATGATCAAATTTTGGCGACCCGTCCTCAAATCAAGCTAACCGATCCAAGGTACCAATTAAGTCTTTGACCCTAAATCTACAATGGACTTAATACATTAATATAAAAACATTCTATGTTAGACATAAATATTTAGTAGGAATTAATACCAATAGGCACAATATAGCATTCTAACATGTCATAACCTCAAACGATTTTTTTTTCTCGTTCTGTTTTAATCGGGTGTCCTTAATTTATATCAAAGGACATTTGAATGCTATTCGTATACAATTGATGCATGCATGAAATTATTGTATCGCAGCACGTCAAATGATGAAATCTGTAAAAAACTAGATGAGGAAAATTGGACAGGAAATAGATTTTCATACGGCTATCCTCCTTTGCCATATCAAAATTTTACGTCGTAATTATAGCTACTATGTTACATTGAGTTAATTGCACGTATAGAAGTAACCTGATATATTCAGAGGTATCCTTCAGTTAATGTTAATTGCTGGATTTTTGGATATTGAAAAAAAAACACAAAGGAACTACTTCCTGTGCTTTTTATATCTATTTTACGTTGTTAATATTTGCATAAGATCGTATAAGAAGTCTGTGAAAAAATGCTCACTCCTTAATTATCTGAGACGTGAATCATCTGAAGGAAGGCTATCTTTTTACTCGAGGATAGTCTCGGTTGTGGTCGCTATCGAAAAGAATTCCGACTAGCCCTGAGAACTGTTACTCGATTAAATAACCGAATATGGGAAGAAATATGGATATTGATTTTTATACGCCAGTATTTAATATTAATATTTAATAAATCTTGTCTCGTTTAATATACATTTAGTCCTAAATGTAAAGCTTGGATAAATTAGACAAATCATTGCAATAATTCTTCCATGTCCTTCATGAATCCATGTTATATTAACTGTTACGTTAGGCTAGAACTGTGCAGACCGCTGTTACTCACTGAGAGAAAGCAGTGATGTTTTACCCACGTTATTGATAACTCATCCATTAAAAAAAGCTAACTCTTTATATCAGTTCATGAGATAAGTGGAATCCTCATATAAGAATGAACCAAGTCATTCATCGTTTTTGACTATATATGAATATCTATCCCTCTTTAGGATAACGGATAATTATTTAATTAAAAGCCTTGGAGTGTTTTTTTACAACGTTACTTTCAATGGTAAGTTGACTTTGATCAACTTTGTACACTAGAGTGAACTATGGTAGGAATTTATTTAAGGATATGTATTTGAATTAACTTCGTTTCAAAAACTAAGTAGGCTTTTGTGCCTATGAAACGTTGAATCCTCACTTCCTTGCTTCACACACCATAGAAAATCCCAAATTGTTGGGAGTAAGGTTGCAAACGATCGCTGACCCGTTGCCAAGCAACAAATAAATATTAATTAATTTATTATAATTAAACAAAGAAATAAACGTTCTCAAGAACAATAAACTATATAACAACACAACTATTTATCCGCAATAAATACAACTAAATGATTATAATCAGGCGTTAACAGAGATCATACTCATAAGGTACCTATAGAAATTTTACAAACTAGAGGGAACACCAATGTTATATCTCTAGACTAGCGTATTTATTTCTCATTTATGCCTATGATATCTGCTGTCGGTTTTTCAAGATAAATCAAAGAGAGTTTGTGTAAGCGCTAGTGTCGCTTTTAGACATTTGTTAGATTTTGTCATTAAATTAATTTTGTTTATCCGCTATCTTCATTGACAAATTTTATGTCTTTTTTCACCTCCTTTTACTTCCTTTGATTTCCTTTTCGAATTATAATAGGTTTGGGCAAATGCGACCCTCAACTTCCGCCATGTTTGTTTCTTTTAACTGTTTGGACAGATGTATCAAGCATCTTGTTTCTTGTTTTTGTTTGTTATGTTTCTGGTTTTTTGAAATGCCTAAGCCCGGGTTATGAGAAAGGATAATGACACTTTGAAATTGACTTGCAATCTATTGCAGCTCACCTTCAAGATAATAACGAAGCTTATTTGTATGGTCAGAGATGAGCTTTGGGGTTCCATTAAACAAGTATGTTTTCCTCATGCCCGACCTTACAATATTAAAACCTCCATGACCCTTGTTACATCACTAATATAATTATCCATAATGACTACAATGTTTCATATTTCGTCTCTCAGATTGGTAAATCTAGAACCTCTAAAAGCAGGAAAAATTATAATTTTTTTCACATTCAATTCAATGCTTCAGCTAATGGCATAAAAAAGTTTTAAAGATTTTTTTATACACTTTATTATTTTCAGACACTCCGAGAGAATACGCAAGTATTCTTTAACAATATCGCTATATCGAACTCAAAAACAGTACAATATTTGGGTCTCTACTTGAACAAACGACTGACATGGACATACCACATAAAACAAAAAAGAAAACAACTTAAACAGCGTTGCTGAATTATTTCTAGGCTACTTGACAGACGTTCTAAATTATCGGTGACTATTAAATTAACTATTTATAAAGTCCTCATGAATCCATTTTGGATATGTAGTAATGTATTGGGCGAGATATGGGGAACAGCAAAGGCATCAAATATAAAAATGATTCAGTCATTACAGTCAAAAATCCTCCGGAAAATTGTAGACGCTCCTTTTATGTTTCCAATCTTACGGTAAACACTGACCATGACATTCAATTTTTCACAGAAACAGCCGCAGATCGTTTTTATGATTTTCATGATAGACTAACTCTAAATTCAAATCCACTTAGTCGAGCTCAATCTACTGCCACCGATCTATATAATCCGGCCAAGAGACTGCTGAGGAGCTGGCCAAGAGGTACTGCATTGAGCTATTTGCTGTGTTATCTTTTGCTTTTGTCTTTTTATGTTGTCTTATTTTCATTTTATTCTTTTTTTTTTTTAATTTTGAAGTTTACTTTTAATTTTTTTTTTTAATCCTGGCTTGTTCTTTTTTTTGTTTTGTTATTATTTTTGGCCTTATTTTGTTCTCCTTGGTATCATATTTATTTTATGTCAAAAATATGTGTAACATAGAAAAAAAAAATTATGTTTCTACTATTCATTTAAGTTACAAGGCTTGCTAATTAGAACTATGGTGTGTTGCAGCAATTAGATTTCCAGCCTTCACCACAAATTTTGTAATTTATGACTAGATTAATATTTTATAATAATTTATAGAGTTGTAAAGGTTTTTATAAACTTGCTTCCCTGTTGTTTCCTAAGCATTCCCCAAAGCGACTAGTGTTGCCCAAATGCGAGTCCGAGACTAGTCTTGGTCTTGCAAACTCCGTCTTGGTCTTGCGCAGGTCTCTCGCAACAGTCTTGCAGTTACTTATTAGTTTATTACTATAGAGATATTACCGTATTTTTTTAGATAGGAGAAACCTAACTAAGACCGAATGAAAAAAATAGAGGAGATAAATGCAAAAGTACATTGTTTATACGAATTATTAACATATAGTAACTAGGATTGTCAAGTATTAGTAACTATTTTGATTTAATTTTTATTTAAAAAAAACGATTTTTTTTTACCAGTCCTGTTCTTTCTTGTCGTTGCAACAGTTAGGCGACCTTGGTCTTGCAAAGTGCAAAACGAAGACAGATTTTGGGCAACACTAAAAGCGACCGAAAAGTAATTTGTATCCACATTTTCTAACCTAGATCAGCATTTGAATTGCCTTTGCTTTAAACTGAATATTAATACCATGTCACACTATTAATTTTTTTGTGTATTTTTTTCAATAATTGTAATTGTAATCGACCAAAAAAATTCAAAAACTTAACCTTAAAATTTGAGGTTTAACGTGTCTATCCATCGGTCACTGTCCGCGGCTTTTCTCCGAAACCATTAAACAACCTTTTTCAAATTTGGAAGTCAGAGGTAACCCGGCGATAGTCCTCCTACCTCGACATTACTATCCGCCATTTCCTATCGCGATGGCGGCCGAAAAAAAATGTGTAGGTATAGGCTGTAGAGCTTAAAGGAATGTACTGATTTTAATGAAACTTGGCTTAGGTCTGCCATTTGGCCATAAGTATGTTTTTAATTTAATTTAGTTTATATATATATGCCATTTAAAAATATGTATATATTTAAACACTGAGAAGTACTTCTCTTTCAAGATGGCAGTTTTTTTAGAAGTTATATATTAGATTTATTAAGTGATTCATTAGAAGTTTACAAAATTTCCTAATAGTCCAAAAAAAAAATTGTTGAAATCGGATAATTTCTTGTGTTATGCTGAAAACTTATATTTAGTTCTGGTTTCTAATTTTATGAAATAGTTACAATTAATAGTCTTTTATTAATTTTCCTTTATGTTAAAAGGAAAGTAATCATTCTTTTGACGATTGTTTGGAAATAACAAACCATAATGTGATAATTTGCAACGTTTTTTTAAAATAAAACTGTAAATCACAAGAAATTAACAGTCACAAGAAAAAAACTGTTTCTGGAGTTTACCATTTGGTCTTCGTTTGATATTTACGAAGAACCGGAACAGTTCAATGTCGTCAACCTCTTAACGATCATTGATATCCTTTAATCGCACTGATAAAGAAGTTCCTATTCAAATATGTCTGTATATTTATATATAAAAGTAATAAAAAATATTATTTATCCTCTCTGTATTAGCTTGTACAGCCGAATATCCGTACATGGTAAACATAGTGTTCTCCACTTATTTTCTTTCCTATTTCAATTATACATTTTTTACTCAAAAAACGCCGTTAGCTGTTTCCTACATGCGATGATCAATTGAAATACTACAAAAAAATATCGTATTCATCAATGACCATGAGACATCATTTAACAAAAAATTATATTCATAATTTTCTAAAAATTTCATAACGTCATAATTATCTACCAAAACTATTAATTTTAAGTTTATATATTTTATTAGCTTCACAAGAAAAAAAAAAATCCACGTTTTAATATAACTGTCTGTTGCGATTATTTAGGAATGTAACAGGAAAACATGATTAAACGTAGTTTATCATAGCTCTAAAATATGTTAAATATAAAACTAAACGAAAAATAAATTAAATATTTAATTATAATTTTATGAAATTTTTTTAAAATTATCATAGTCTGTTTCTTAAATGTGATTATGAATTGAGATATCGGTAAAAATAAAATCATGTTTAACATTAATCATAAGGCTTGCTTAACGAACAAATAAAATAAATCATACCTCTCTTTATTAGTCATTATTTTTTCATTTAATAATTAGATTAAATTTTCGATCATAAATAACCATCTACAATTTACCGCCTTTAAGTCCGATCTATATATAAGTTATGTAACATAAATGACAACAGCCAAAGATGAAAAATGAAATATAATAACAATGAAATAACTCACCATTGAAAATGTTCTTCAAGACATTGGCGTTGGCATTGGTGATGTATACCACAACTAAGAAGTTGATGACCAGACCTCTCATCTCGAGTGATGTTGATGATGGATTTGGGATACGACTGTCTTGTCCTGGCCATCCCAGGCTTTGGAGGGGACCCCCACTCCTAACCGTGCCAATGTTTTCCTTCCCATCTGGGAAACATTGATGGAAAGGTTATCATGGACTAGGATACTGACCTCAGCATGTGTGAAGGAGGCCATACAGAATATCTATATAGAGACTGTATATGTGTGTATATATTATTTTGTAAAAATAGCACTTGTATGTCTAATTTTCTTCATAGCTTATGTGAAAATCCGATATGGAAGGCTTATAATGTACCAATGAATCCGAATTCAAACACTATCTGGTAGGAGAAAGACCAATATTTAATTTACTCGCATATCGGTAATTTAGTTTTTTTTTGAAGGGAAGAATTGATGAAGAATAGGAGAAAAAAATTTTAATTCGAAATATTCGATGAAAATACCTAATTACTTTTAGAACTTAGGAGCTGTCATTTCAAAGCCCAGACTATTCATTAGAAATTTACTGCAGTTAGTAAATCCACATCCCAGATGGGATTACCCAGCTGTTGAGCGCTGGAATAGAAATTGATCAAATCACCAAAAAACATGAGAGTGGTTTTTTAAAATTGTATTTTTATATCCGTAACTGTATTCAGCTTAAAGGAACCTTTTATTTTTATCGATACCCCTATCTTTCATTTCTGGTTTATGGGGAGCTGTTTCTTATGTCAACAGTGTACAAAAAATATACATACCATCAACATGGTGATGGACATTCATCTTTTTAAAGATACCATATTTCCATCTACACTCTTTTTTCTATAACTTTCTTATCACTGAAGGCCACAATAAGGTTAAGCAGTAATAATGGAGATCGCAAATAATTAAATATTAATTAATTCTAGTACTAGATTAGTAAATATCGCGCAAAAACAAAACCTACAAAATGAAAAAAATAAATAATTGTAGTTTGTATTCATGTTTTGGTCTGTTGTTTTCAATTAAAATTAATTTCTCCCTGAAATAAGTACACTTGATTTAATCATTTCCTTATTCTTTTGCCATTTCTTTTGTGGCGAATATATTATACGAATTATTCATACAGGCCAATAGTTTACTAGCATTTGAGAGGCTTGAGGATTTGTTATTAGAATATTATTAAAAAGATTTACAATTTGCTGATGATATGGTCATTATTACAAATGACGAAGAAGATGCTTCCTTTAAGATGGGGAAGCTATTGAAAGTCTATACTACATAAGACCTGGACATCATTAAAACAAAAACGCTGCAAATTATTTCACAATGGTTTATTATTTCCAAACAATTATACATCTAAAGTAACATTACCTTCCAAGTTACAAAGAAAAATAAACAAAAGGTGATTCCAATTGTTGGACTAAACTTCTTTTTTAATCATTAGTAATATGCTAAAAAAAATAGCATTTCTTCAGTAACACATTCAAAATTTAAAAATCAAACCAAGGATATAACATTTGGAGCAGAATATATATATATATAAAAACCGGAGACCATATCTTTGCTGCTAATTGTCCGATTTTAACGATTTTTTAAAGAAAATTTCGTAAACTTTTAAAAAACTATTACAATATGAACAACAAACTTTTCGAATTATTCGGAATTTAATTTTACCATCCCTCGTAACTTTTTTTCCAGCTTCTTTTCGTTGGAGTATGTTATATAGATAAATTTAAAGGGTGTCGAGAAAATGACTTTGGCGAAGTTTCATTGAAATCTGTACATTCGCTTAGGAGCTACAATCTATAGCAAGGCAGGTTTTTCGGCCGGAGAGTAATTTGTAATACAAGATAAAGGCGGAGAGTAATGTCGATGAAGGAGGATCATCCTCGGGTGACCTCTGATTTTATATCAAAATTTGAAAAAAATCGGTCCAGTAGTTTCGGAGAAAATGCGCGGACGGCGGACGGACAAAAGAATTTTTATTCGTTTTTCGAATTCTACGCGAATTTTTTGGTCAACCACAATGTTTCATTATTGAAAATAATAAACCAAAAGCAAGTATATGACATTCAATAAAAGTGGAAAAAAATAAAATAAACTTGTGCCACTACAACCCATTGTATTAGGTTCAGTAAATCGTAAGGAAGTACTGAAGTACTGTTTCTTGATCAAAGGTTGTACAAGGAGGTGATTTGACCGAGAACACGCTCAACCACCAGGTTTTCCTCCTTAATCAATTATTTAAATAAGGGTACCACTTTGCAAAGGCTGGGTGTACCCCAGGTAGGTGTCCCGACCCCAGGGTCCACGGCCGACAAAACAGAATAAATAATTTATCAAACATCAGCCGGATTCGAACCTGAGAGTTTGAGCATTGGTGTCAGCGCCCTACCACTGAACTATCCCACTCCTCAATAACAGTTGAAACTCCTAATTAATTTTTGGGGAATGAATTTGGCCAACAGAGCACTTTTAATATTTAGGCTGATTGGTTTCGAAGCGGATCAACAGCAAAAAATACATTGATGAACAGGTCATCAAAGTTAGAAAGATCATACGGACATTAAAGTCTGTTCCATACAATAAAGACGTCATGCTCCAAATGAAAATGAGACTCTCTACCATTTAATTAAGATTAAAATTTTATACTCAAAGGACGATTAAAGAAAAGTTGTAAATATATATATATATATATATATATATATATATATATATATATATATATATATATATATGTGTGATTCTTAATAGGAAACATAGACCGGGAATGCCATTCCTCTATTACGACCGGTCAATGCCACGCCAACCTCTGCTGTGCGGTTTGTCCAGCCAGCGATAATTTTAGGCCAGCGGATACTGACTCACGCATTGCTCTTATTTTCTTATTTTGGCTACAATACTTTTGAATGTAGATCCCCGTTTAGATTTTTTTTTCTCTAAAATTTATTTTGCTGGAAATTTCCATTCAGAAAAACATTCCCGGCTTCCCGAGTGAAATCATGCTGGAATGCCTTAATGGGAAGAAGGACTGTTATTTAGTTGTGTGTTTTCCAGAAGCAGAGGGTGGGGGTTAACAGAAACGGTCAAGAGAGAGCGGTGAGTCAGTTCCTGTAATTATTTATAAATTTGATGTTATAAATAAATCGTACTCAGCTATAAATATAATAAAAACGTTTATTCATGAAATTCTTTGTATGGATATGAGTAAAGATCTTTCAATCATAATGTGTTTTATATAAATAAATTGATACACAATGTGTTGATTTACACGATAAAATAATGTGTGGGAGTAAACCTACAGAAAATTATCAAAAACAGTATTTAAAATGCATTAAACAATGAAAGAAATTGAAATAAATAAACATAACATTAATCAATGAATAAAAATGTAATAAATAAATAAACAATATTTAAAATGTATTGGAAAACAGAAAATAAAATAAATAACATATAGAAGAAACGAATTTTTCACATATCTACACACTAAGTATCAATATGTGATTCTTATATAAATATATATAATTATAATTATATAAATATATATAATTATAATTATATAAATATATAATTATAATTATAATTATATAATTATACATAAAAAATAAAAGTTTTCATTTTTAAATTAAAAAAAATATTATTGTTTATATCTTAAAAGTATTTTAAAGTAACAGAATTATAGATACTTTGTGAAAAAAACTAGTTAAAAAAAACAAAAAAAAGAATATGAAATATACATAGAAATACATAATACAAAATAGAAATAAAACATTACATATCTAAAACGAAGAAATAAAACATTACATATCTAAAACGAAGAAAGAAAGTAACAGTGTCTAAGACTATCGTTATATATATATATATATATATATATAATATATATATATATATATATATATATATATATATATATATATATATATATATATATATATATATATATTTATAAAACACAGAATAACATAAATATTTTATCTTCATAGGTGTACTAAAAAATTATACATGTTTAAAGGTCCTGTCGTATTTCTATGATGTTGATAAATTTCTTTTCTATATAAAGTTTCATCAACTATAACATAAGTGCTAACTACAATTCAAAATATATACGTTAATGATTAAATTTTATTTTTGTCAATCATAAAGGTAGATCGAGACTAACGTACTCAAAAGTCGAGCAGGTCAGTACTTATGTACAATAATCAGAACGGTACTCATGTTAGGATTTGTCCATCTTTGGTCAAAACGACGAACTGGAATTTTTTACTCTTTTTTTTTCTTACCTTACGATTTAATTTATAATAGATCAAATAAACTTTTTAAAGAATGATTGAGGAGTTTGCTGTCGAACATGGATATCTCCATTTCAACTTTTTTTAATAAAGTGACCATAAAAAATAATTTAGCCACCATTTGGAGAGGTCAGTCTGTTATGGAAATGTAAAAATTTGTGAAAATACCAATCAAAATAGAAATATCACATTCGGTCAAATTAGAGATGTCCACAACGTCAACCTTGCTAACATGTTGATGGAGTGAAGTTGGTTCGTATATAAGTTGACATGACATATATGGATTCCGCAACGTGGTTGAAAAAAAAAAAACACAAGATAAGTATTAATAAAATAAAAATATCTCAGGCAATTCTTAACCTAAATGTAAAATGTATTTTATAGTTAGTTGTATCTATTGTATACTTCCTAGTTGGAATGTATTTAAAACCACAATAAAAAAAATACGAGCTATATTTAAGATTTTTATTTTACTTCGGTTTAAATATTATTGTTAAGCTAGAAATAAAACATGTAGTAAATAATACAGTAATGTTTTACGTATTCCTCATAAACCAGTGAAATATTATTTACTCCCTATTTTATTTCTGACCGCATTTCAACCATTACTCCTACATTTCAGCTGTCAAACACATGTCTATAAATTATCAAAAATGCAATGTTGTATTATTCAGGAAGTATTGATATGCCACATTACTGAAAGTTTAAATTGCGTCTAAAGTAAATTTCTTTCATTTGATTAACATTAAAAAAAAAATCATAAAATTAAAATAATTATAATTGGCAAATAATGATTGTAATAATTTATCCTTTAATTTATTTATTTTTTATAAACAATGATTAGATAGGGAAC